ATTGTATCATTGATTTTAGTTGATTGTATCATTGATTTTAGTTGATTTTATCACAGATTTTAGTTGATTTTATCACTGATTTTAGTTGATTTTATCATTGATTTTAGTTGCACTCTGTAGCACTTTGAGATTTTTGTTAATGAAAAGTGCGTTACAAATTAAATTCATTATTATTATTATTACTAGGGGTTGGGTTAGCTTAACGCTACGATCCTTCTAAGTAGACTTTTTAATGTTTTTCTTGGTTGGATTGGACACTCATTCCTCAGTTTCAATATCTGTGTATTTTTAACTGGGGTATATACATGTAAAAATTGATATTTTATGCTCTTTAAATGTAGTATTTTATGTTGTAAGATATAAAATATATATAAAAAAATATGTAAAACCTAATTTGGTTATTTCTATCTGCCTGCTAAACTTTATCCAGACAGTCTTGTTGCTTTGCATATGTTACTTTACATTTTATCTTTAGAATCTAAAGATAAAATGCAGAGAGCAGAAATAAATAATGTGATTGGTTATGGTAGGGATAAAAAAATTTTTAAAAACATAAAGGACACAATAACCACTGTGTTACAATGCAAGAGTGTGTTGCCATAGATATTGCCTGTGCATGAAAAAAAAACAACAAAAAAAACACGATATAACGCTAAAGGCTCCTACCCACACAGGTCCCTAGCGTCATATTTTTAGCCTTGGCATTTCTCTAGATGAATTCACACAGTTCAAAAGCCTTGGTATTACATAATTAAAGCTAAGCTATAACAACTATTCAGCCATTGTTTGTCACATAGAAACAAGATAATCAAAGGACACTGATATCAAAACTTCTGTAATACAGTTTTACCACGAATGTTCCATCTGCCTGACCTGATGACCAGGTATCAATGCAAGAGTTAAAATGTGTCCAATTCAAGCTACGATGATGAGTTTTAGAAGCATTTAGTGTGAAACAAAGAGAGGGAGTCAGTGAAAATACAACAGGCTTCTCTCTTTCACTGTGTGGCAAATATCTGTGTCAAAGGGCTGCAGTTGTCATTTTGACTGTGAATGGGGTCACCATTGTATTTCTTTTCACTTCTTTACTGAACATTTACTGGAGTATCCAAGACAAGAGGTTTCTATTTTTGTTTATTGTTTAGGAAAAACACAATCTATAAGCAGAATGCTGAACCTCTAAACTTGCATGTGAATACTATTTTATAGTTTCACCACCATTACTGATTTTATGAGTTGAGTTTATAGCCATTTTATCGCACCTTATGTCGAAGCAAATTCCTAGTTTGTGAACCTCGTTCATTGACATGGCAATAATAAACTGATTCTGATTAGTTTTCCATTACATTGGTATTTACATATAATTGTGTGTTGATATACAAGCATAACTAGCAGCAGCAGCTAGCAGGAGCACTTCCCATGCAGATTGGAAGCACTTCTTGCAGGATTATCAGAATATTTTGGCTGAAGACAACAGTGTAAAAGTTTATAGAATACTGTACTATTTGCATAAATCACTATGGAAATGTGAAAATTGGAGTAGTTTCAAAATGATAGAATTTGTTTTGCAAAGGGTTCTGCTGACGAGCTAGTATGAACATACCCAACACAAAGTGAAATTTGTGAACTAGACAAACGTGGTCAAGCTAAAATATAGAAGTGGTTTAATGAGCAAACAAACTGAACTTAAGACCTTTTCGAAGAGGCCATCCATCCTTTAGCAGCAAACCACATAAAATGAAACATGATTTTATCATGAAAGGTTAAGTTTTTATTTAACGGACAATTTTATAACAAAAGCTAAAGTTTCACATCAAAGTATTTAGAAAACTGAGTTATTCAGTTGGCAAAAAGCCAAAATAAGACAATTACAGAGTTCAAAACCATATTTACAAACTATATGACAAAGTTCGGTTGTGCATTTTTGAAGTATCAACTAAACAAAAGACAAGCGATGGATTATCTCTTGTTCTATTCATTTCAACAGTAGAGTGGTTAAAAGGCAACAAGGTACTAGTCCTCCATCTCACATGTTCAGATATACTCACACAGTTAAAGACAGGAACTTATCACTGCTCAGTGGGGGAGCCCTGCTCGCATCCATACACGATAATGAATACATAGTCTTAAAGTAAAGCTGTTTCCCGTTTGTCTCAGCAGGTATAACATCTGGAGGCATCTGCTGCTCACTAATGCACAGTCTGGGTACACATAAAAAAAATTACTTCCAGTCATTAAATCTCAGCATACTGTTTTGGCGATAATGCACATTAAAAAGATCATAAATGAGGCAAACAGGTTAAAAACAAACAAACATTCAGTTCTGTTCTCTGTTTGTGCTGCACATGAGGCAAAGTTTTCAGAGATCAATGTGAAAAGACAAAGTAAAAACTGAGGGGAAACATTAAAAAAAAGAAGATCCAGTAAGTCCATGTAGGAATCCACACAAAGGTGCTTTAGTTGTACAGCTGCACGATGATCAGAAGAGGTTTTCCAGTAAAAACGTCAGCTGTTACAGAAGCTGAGTAAAAAAAAACAACTTACATAGCAGTGTCTTCTTCAGGTAGAAGAGCAGAACTGCCTGAAATGTTCACTGCACACAAGTGTTTGTGATTAAATATTCATATGAATATGGCTTGGTGGTTCTTGGCTTTGTCACAATATTCAAATTGTAACAAAAGTGTTTTTTGTTTTTTTTATACTGTGTAATTCGTAGATGTTTCATTTTCAGTTTCAATCTGAAAGATCTCATTCACTAAACAAAATGTCATAATTTCCTTCAGGTTTGAGAAAACCTAATCCACTTTTTTGAATCCAAGAAAATAAATCTAAAATTTGCCAGTGAATATAAGTTCATTTTACTTAGTTTGTTTTTTTTCCCTCTGTTGACAGATGTTCTGTTGAGCTCCTTTTAAAGGTTTCCTCTGATGGACAAGATTTTTTTTTTGTCTCCGTAAACAAAAAGTGCATTGACTTAATAGCCCTAAGGCAAACCAACACAAACACACATACAAACAAAATCAAACAAATATTTATCCTGTTCATATCAATACTCCTTTTCCACTTGTGATATCTTTGTCACTGGTAATAAATTAAAAGTTCAGCAGTTCACATTCATCAGCTGGCTGTGTGTTTGTGTATCTGTGTGCAAGAATGAGTCCGGGTAGGCAAGTATTACAGTTCACATTGGTTACTGTGGCCCTGCGGCTTTTCTGAGAAGCTCCAAGTCTGTGCGTGTTCGAGCTGCAGGTGGCGAACAGCCATAAGACTCCAAACCCAAGGGCAAGTAGCGCTCCTGCACCCCCAGGACATCATCGCCTTGCCCCGTTTGCAGTGAAACCCACGAAGGGGGTAAAGAACCACCCAGGAAGCCCCACATTACCAGACTTTCTGTTGTGAAAGGCAATAACACTGTATGAGAAAAATAACCTTAACATGCAGCCACTGGACAGAATTAAAGCTTACCTTTACTCTGCAGATCAGCAGCTTTGGCCAGACCAAAGGAGACTAGATGTGGTGCCAATTGAGCCAGGCCCTCAGGCTGACCTCGAGTTGCTATGAGGACAATTGACCTGGAGACAGATGGGTTGGAACATTAAACATCATTCTGCACAATTCTGTTACAGTGTAGTGCTGCGAAAAGCTTTAAACTTGTGATGAAAACTAAACCGTATTCCCAGAGATTTACCGCTTTGGAATTGCAGTTTTCAGGAACTGTTCCATCTTAGTATTCATCTTAGCAAACGAGGTTTCCTGGTTGACTTTTCCAGAGCAGGCATCCACCAAGACCAGGAAAAACCCAGGCTGAGAGAAGGACATGGTCACTTCATTCACCTGGCAGGGGAAAAAATAATAAAAAATGTGCGATTTAAATAAACAAAATAAAAGCTCTGAGTTTTTAATTATGCTTCCAGCTTAAATATGTGTTAAGGCATTCCAAATAGCTCACAGTGATAAAGGAGGTGTTATCTCCTTTCTGCTGCTCTTTGGTGCTGAGAGACTTCACTTGTGTCTGAAGATAGGAAGTCCACGGCTCACTAGAAAACACAAACTGAGACAAAACCAAATAAAACATATGGAGCACTAGCTTGTGTTTGAAGTGGCTTATTCAAGATCATTGTAAAGGCAAGATTTCAAACCTGCTGAGCACCACAGTTTTTGCAGGGCTGTGTGTTTAGAGCTGGCAAGGACAGCACTTCTGAGGGTGTTTTGGAGTACTTGGGGTAGGCTTTAGCTGTGCAGTTACAGGTCTGTTTAGACTTTGTTGTGGCTGTGACTTTAACTCGTTCGCAGCCTTTTGCTGAACAGTAGCTGTGACCGTCACGACCATGCCGGGCCCGAAGGTAGAACCACAGTAAGCTGGGTATCATGTCAGGAGCATCACAGGAGAAACGCACAGAGAATTGTAAGCTTGACAAAAGAAAAATGAAGCACTTCCAAGTAAAACTTGACGTTAAAGATTGCTCAACCTTTGCTATGAGAAAAGTGACCTTTATATGTAGACATGAGTCACGATGAAAAGTCAAACTAAATGTCACAAATCTCCTGACTGACTATCACTGCTGCAGTATTTCCAAATCTAAGAGTGCATGAGGAGGTTGAAAGACAAACTGAGGTCTGCATCCGTGTGCTCTCACCCAACAGGTTGGTCAAAGAAGTATTTCCTTTCCATCGGTTTTGCCTCCAGCTCAGCAAGAGACGACACGGTGCCGTAGTCCATAATGTCATCAAATACGTTCCTTTGCCTGTCGTAAATGTCACTCATGATCTGAAACGTGGTGTCTGATGGGTAACAGAGTCCCACCAGGACCCAGGCACCTCTGAGTAAAACAACCACAGGCATCGTGCACAAATTAAAATGAGTAAAATTCATTTAACTTTTATTTGTTAGAAGTTGTAATGTGACAAAGACCACACGCAGAGCAGCTGAAGAACCTAACCTAATGCACGCCATAATAAATATTGCATTCTTTGAGACTGCCATGCTCCGGTTTTGTTCCTACTCACTTATCAAAATTGATGAGAGAGAGCACCAGCTCTCTGGGTGCAGGTCCACTCCAGTGCAGAGTGTAGCTCTTGCTCATCATCAGGACAGGCTGGTACTGCTGAGATGACGCCCCCTGGCTGTTAATCCCCCTCAGTACCAGAGGAGAATCAGGGTATTCATCTCTGCTGATGGACAAACTGAGGCCAGGAGCTCCCCATGTCTGGATATACACCTGACAGAAAGAAAAATGTGGCAAAGCAAAGATCAGAAACGTGAGTGAGGGAAGGATGGAGCTGGCATTGATCCTGATGTATTGTACCTGGGAGTAGCGGCCGCTGCAGGTTACTCCGTTCCACCGGGGTATTTTCACACAGCCAGGATGTTGTATTAGGTAATTATCTGCTCGGCCGACATAGGAGTCCCTATAACCCGTTACTGACCCATCAACATCGTGAAAGATGGAGTTTTTGTCACCATCCAAGTCGTTCTCTTCAAACCACTGTCCTGGACGTCCAAAGAACGCTCGAAGATCCACCTGAGGACATCATTTGTGATTAGAGTTGTCACTACTACCACCTCATTACCTAATTACTGTGCAACAGTTACGTTTACCACTGCACGTGTTTTGATTTCAGTGTTGGATTCAGTGCAAATAAAAGTGTAAAAGTATGAATCACCTCTGTAATTCATTAATATTACTTGATTGAACTAATTGTGCACTACTGTGCTACCAGAAGAGGGAGCCAGTGATTTACAATTGACCAGGCTCTTTATAAGAAATTTTATAGAAGTATATATATATATATATATATATATATATATATATATATAAAACTAAACTTAAAAATACATGGACAGAGAAAAAACAAAGCCATAAAAAAATACCCTCACTAAACAGGCCACGCTAGAGAGACAGAAACTATTTTTCTTAATCTGCAAGTTTTAAAAGGGACAGGACTGGACTGTTTCTTCCTGCTCCCCTTTTGAACATTTTTATTTTGTTTACTGAATATTTTGGTGGAAATATTTTTTGTGTTTACTTATGTTTTTTTGTTTTGTTGAAATTTTAACTGTTCGAAATGAAAAAATTTTTTAAAAAGCGTTCACGGTTACAAAAAAAAAACATCCCATTTTCCAGCAGAGCTGTAAATAGTCTGTTTAGTTTTACACAGACCCACAATATCTGTCTGAATATTTCTACAAGCTTTCTATAAAATTTCTAAAAGATTTTTACAAGATTTATGTCACTTCATGTAAGAAAATGCAATGTTTTAGAAACAGTACATGCATGATCACAACACATTCAGTTTCTTTAAAGTGTCTTTAAATATTCAGTTAAGGTCAAAGAGGTCTTCTCACAGAGGGGTGGAAGCTGAGCTGGGACAGGTTGTTTCTTGGAGTCAGCTGCCACGTATTCTTCAGGTTGAATCCCACTGCACTGGTATAACGCTCCGGTGTGGGGATGAACCCTCGAAATGTACTTTGTGTGAGCCGCACTGGGCCATCATAGATCTGAAAACCTCGAATTGGGAACGTCCTGAGGGGGACATTTAAAATAAAAAGTCAACGATAAGGCAGAATATTTTACAGAAAAAAACTAATTATCTGTGAAAGAAACTGAATATAATAACATAATATAACTGAATATTAATATACAGTACATATACTTTGGTTGGCCTTGTCGCTGTTTTAAGTGCTTTATAAATAAAATGGTATGGTATATTTTAGAAAAAAAATTTAAATAACTGCAACTGATGAATCATGTAAATAATCAGTGTGTGGAAAATTGTAATTCTTTAAACTGACCACTTCTAATGCTCTCTAATAATATTTACATCAACAAGCTGCACTGGAGAACAATTTAAGTTTCTAAAGATCACCGCATCCTGTTTTTCATAAAATTACCGTATTTTTCGCCATATAAGTTGCACCTTTTTGCATAAATTTGCAGGTCCTGCGACTTATACACTGAAGCGACTAATATACGTTTTCTTCCTCATATTTATAACCCAATTTTTGGCTGAGATCTGACGATTTCATTCAGACATGGGAAATACCATTTTCAACCACTAGAGGGTGCTTGACTAATACGGCAAGCCAAGTGTCTCATTAATGGGTAAAAGAGGCTAATAATGAAACACTTAGTTTGCCATACCAAGACACCTTCGTCTCTCTCCAGAACTCCTGGAGCAAATGTCAAATCAGCTGCATTTTGTCGCGCCACCCGGGCAAAATGCAGCTGATCTGACCATTAAAGTGCATTTATTAAGGAAAAGTTCAACTGAGACACACCTTTGCTATAATGTCGAGCAAACAAATAATTGTTTTCAAGTGTTAATCTTGTTAAATTGTTGTTAAAGTGTTCACCGTGTTCAAAAATGTTTTCGTTTCAAAACATTTAAATGTTTTAAAACAAAAATCCTTGAGTCGTTTGTTGTCACAAACAGTTTTAGGACAAAACAGAAAGTAACGACAGTCTCATGACACGACAGTAAACTGTTAAGGTTTTTATGTTGCGCTTTGTAAAAAAACTATTTGGCAAGCACAAATGTTCATTTCTTTCATAGCAGTATGCGCGTCAGTACACGACTGTAAAGCTGATAAACTACAAACTGTAAAGTGATTGGATCACATTAATCTACCAGAACAACTGACCAGAGATGAACTCTATAGACATTCAGTGAGAACCTGGAAGTTGAAGTCAAAACGGAACTAGCTTCCCTGTAGACCAGTCCCAGTACGTTCTGTACGTTCTGCCTCCTTGATGTAAACGAAGGGAATAAGTTTTCCTTCATAAAATAAAAAGCTCACCTCAGATCATTTTAGGTGTTAACTCTCGTGGATTCATGTAGTTTCTATCATTGCCATATATAAACAAGTATTTTTTATATATTTAAATGTAACTGGTTAACTCATGTTTAGAAGTCATGTACTGTGACACCATGATTATGTAATAGTCTGGTCCTGAAGATACAACAAGGCAATGTTGATCAAATGAAAACTTGTGGCTTTAATTCTCAACAACAGAGAAGGTCTGGTTTGATCTTAGATGGTTGATAAATATAACCAATACCAGTTTATAATACTGACACAAAAGGTCGATAGAAGTACCTCAAGTAATTCATCTTGCTTTTGTATAGTAATTTTGTTTGGAATATATTTTGGGGACAAGGGGCAGATATTATAAGAACTCATTCTTCTTCTGCTGCCTTTCATTTTATTTCTGATTGTATATCTTTTTTCTTTTCTTTAAATTGTATTATATTTGTTGTTTGGATGAAATGAAATGAATAAATAAAACATACATACATACATACATACATACATACCTCAGAGGAATGTCCAATAAAGCACACTATCAGTATGAGTACATTCATATGAAACATCTTTTTGGTTGTGGTTAAGAGCAAAACACAAGTATGATTTTAATTTTTCTAAATACCCTTAAACTGTAGGAATCGTATCATCCATCTTAAACTGGTGGAATCTAATGAAAACTAAATATCCTTAAAGTTTTAATCAGTAACAAAATTAACAAAAATATCATTTATATTGTATTAATAAGAAGGGATGTCAGTCACCATAGCTTTTTTTAATAAACTGTCTAAAAATACAACATAAAGGGAAGTGAGTCAAAACAGCACTTCATTTCAGAGGCTCTTCAGCAGCTTAGCAGCTGTGACCTCATGAGTGAATCTGTCCCACCATCAGACTGACTTTCTGGATATAGTCTTTTTTTCCTTTCACTTCCTCCATCTTTATCATTTAATCACCAACTTCTTGCCCTCACCTGTTTCTAGGCAGTGTCCTCATCTTTCCATCAGTCCCTCCTACTCCCCAGTATTTATTCTGTCCTCCGTTCGTTCCTCTGTTTCTGCTTTCACCCACAAACAAGGACTGTGTCACCTCCTGGCTGGAGCCTTCATCTTTAGGGTAGCTACCGTCACTGTAAATTGAAACAACAAGGACACAGTGTTACAAAACACTGTACTCAAACATGCGTGACCATTCGTACTTTTTAAGGCAGACAACATTCAGGGGTAAATGCACGAGTCATTTGCTGTCCCATAATCACAGATGGTTTTTGGAAAGTTTATTCGGTGCAGCTAATCAAACCTGAGAAAGGTTTAAAAAAAATTAGAGTACAAACCTGGCAAAGGACAGTCCTACTCCATTGTCTGCAAAGCTGAAACAAAATTATTTGCATGTTTTATAAACCAGTCAGTAAAATACTTTAAATTTGAGGGTACAGTTACTTTTGTTTCAGCCTTTAAAAAAGCCCAATTTTTTTCTGATAAATCGCACAAAACAAAAAATGCATTTTCACTTCAATTATAAATTCATACATAAGAGTTTAAAACTGTCGTCTTAAAATGACCACTGGAACGTGAAACAAATTAGACTGAAATATAAAACTGTTGAAAATGTACAATTTTTTATTTATTTATTTTTTTTAAAGAAGAACAGATGACAGTGTTGATGCATTGGTTTTCAAGTTTTTATATTTTGTTTCCAGTAAAAGTCATCATTTCAGCAGACACTTGATTTTCATGAAGAACCTCTGGCTGTGAGTTTGTATGAACACTTTGGTCTGGCTGCTCGTCAGACCTTTGAGCCGTCTCACCCCGAGTTCTGGATGATAATGTCTCCTCCTCGAATCCACGCTCCTAAGTCATTGTTCTTGAAGGAGATCAGGGTGTCGATGACTGCTGCCACACGGGGACGAGTGGGGTTCGAATTCTGATGCGGTCGAAACCTTAAAAAACAACAAGTTAGTTTCCATCAGTTGCATTAACTTCTTATGTTGGTTCATAAAAAAAACCATCACAAATCAACGCTGAACTGAGAACAAAACAAAGCAGTTAAAGTCTTATTTTAAACACTAAAAACTTGGACAAAGCTCATTAATTCCTACAATACAATAGAAGGTGGTGTTACAGGAAAGGAAAGTGTTTTAGGAATAAAAAGGAAAAACCCTCCAGCTCATGTCTCACCGTATAATTCATTTTCACATTATCACTTAAAAGCCACCATTATCTAAAGCCTGTAAGCATTAACAGGCGATTTATTCTTGGTTTTTTTTTATGCAAAAGATGGTACTTCTGGGTTTAAGTTTTAAAAATAAAGCTGAAAACCTAAGTTTTCCTCAAGGGAAACATCCAGCATGAATTTTAAGCTCCAGAAAACCACAGTGACCCGTTATCTTCTCGTTATTTTACAATACTACTGTCCCCCTCTCACAAACAGTAGAAAACATTTTAACATTTAGAAATGTTCCGTGTATAGTCCTGCGCTCACAGAGTGAAGGTATGAGTGCATGGCCAGCAGCCTCGGCGGACACGGAAGATTTCCCCCCCCCCCCATCTAGCTGTGGGCTGTGTTTGTGCAAAGACTTGCAGAGTGGAAACTCTATCTGTGAAGCTGTGCTTTCTCTGTCAACACAAACTTGACAGAAAGTTCTTTAAAATGCAGCAGCACGCTATAAAGCCATGCAGTTATTGTTCCCAGTCCACAGCCAAGTCCCAGTACATAAATACAACGGGGGCTCTCATTACCTTTATTCATGCACATTTATTAACTTTGGCATTAAACTAATCTTTTAGTAAACCACCTAAATATTTACACAGTGTAATTGTACATCAAGAGGAATGTGACAACCAACTACAGACCATTTACCACAGCTATAAGTTATGCACATAAACATATACAGACTACTGGAAGTAAGTGATTTACTACCCAGTTGTCAACATTTACAAAATATTAGAGCTCACACACACACCTGGCACTGTTTTCTAGACAGAGGTATTCCCGTGGATCAGCGGCGCTGGCATTGGTAGTCTTCACTCCTTTATCAATGAACAGCCCTGCCTGAGAGGATCAAAGTATGACAAACAAGTTGTGTCTGCAGCAACACATGAAGGACGTCACGATTATTGACGTGACAAAGACAGCATGTATTTTTATAGTGCGGTACCTGAAACACTGGAGGAAAAATAAAAGCATTCTATGACAAATGGAATATGTCAATGAACGTTTAACGTATATGGAAACTTGTGCTGTGAGCTGGAATAAGTGAGGTTTAGTTTTTCACCGCGGGGCTCCTTCCTCTATTAGAGGCCGCTGTGGTCAGACTGGATAAAGAGCTCACAGTTCACCTGCCTGATGTCTGTCATCACACAACAGAGCACCATTGTAGAGCCCACTCGCATGTCTGTGTGTATCCATGTGCGTGTTTCCATGCATATTTGTGGTTAAAAAAATTAAGACGGTATGCAGAGAATTTGCCTTTTGAACACGTCTTCAACACTGGATTTCATATAGAATGCTGGTGGAAGATGTAAAACCAGTGATACCTTAAAGTTGGAGTGCACACGGTTGTTGTAAAAAATCCCAAGAGGTGTGAGCTCTGCCTTGGTTTCTGGCACCAGCCCGTGAGAGTCTCCAGTAGAAGAGCTGTGAAATACAAACCATATACCAGCATCCTGCAAAAGGAAGGGGAAAAAAGAGAAATGAGTCATATAGAACATGTTTTTCTACTTTGCACTGCAATTTCAGTATATTTGCTTATATACAATCATTCTACAGGTGGTAATTCACAGAAGCGATGGGACACATTAAGCACAGCAGGACGTCATGAAATTATTTTTTATGTCCCAAAGCAATAATAAACCAGATCAAAGGAATCAAGTTTGAACCCCTCAAACCCCACGCCTTTATTTTCTATGCTTAAGTGAGCGCTGCAGCCCTTATAACCCCTTTGTTGTTGGAGCTCCGCATTTTCTGTGCCAAAATAAAAAGGAGATTTTTTTTTTTAAATGCTTTCATATATTAAAAGTCTCACAATGTTATTGCACTTCTCTTTCAAACAAACAAACCGTTTAATTCCCATTTTATTAATGGATCACTTTGTTATGAGCAAGAAAATTATTGTTTTTTTTATTGTATAAACTTAAGCAGGACTAAAGCCAGAGGATTGCCTTCATTTATATAAGTTCATAAATGTACTGGGAGCAGAGGACGTCCAACTTCAGTGACCAATCTTCTCTACCCATTTTAATGCGTTTGTTTTTACATTATTATTTTTAAGACTCTCCACTGAAGCTGGTGCTTTAGTTACCTGAGATCCTGCAGCTGCATTGTTGATGAGGTTGTTGTTGGGGTTAGCGATCCAGAATGTAGAGACTGCCCTGGAAAGTACCAAATCCACATCCACACAACGACACAGTTATACAAACGCACAAAAAAGTACAACAAAATAAGAAACAGATCTTGAGGTATCAGAATTTGTGGCAAATGTGCATAAGGATTAAAAAAATACTGCAGCCATCCCTTCTTTCACTTTTCCCTCTTCAGGGGTCACCACAGCGAGTCATCCTCCTCCATCTCATTCTGTCCTCTGCATCCTCTGTCCTCACTCCAACTACCTCCATGTCCTCTAACAGCAGAAACTGTCCTCTCTTGTCCCTAACTTTCTCAAATATCCCCTTCTCCTACATCATTTATGCACATGGACGGTTCAGCCAAACTCACAATGCACATGCACAAAGTCCTGGAGACAAAACAAATGTTTCCCAAAGTTCTTTTCTTGTTATTTTTATGATAATAAAAAACATCACAGAGAGAAGGAAGTTGTTTTTTGTATTGATAAAACTATCCTGCTGGTATCTCTCTCAGCAAAAATTCCACAGTACAGTATCTCTTCTCACATAGACGTAAACCATCCGTTTCAAACTCTATCTGCACATTCTCAGACTTTCTCACGCTGATATTAAAGTCTAAGATTTACACCAACAAGCATTTTTTTTCATTCAACCTTTATTCATGCAGGTTAGTCTCACTGAGTCACGAGGACTCATATTCAAGAGCGACAGATAACATTTGAAGTACGGACAACAATTCAACAAAAAACAGTAAAAATGCTTAAAGCAGTTTTAAAATGGTCATAAATTATTCCTCACTTAAAAAAAGTAAACTGTGTTGTCCTACATCTGCTTCCTTTGTTTGTGTGCATATCTGTAAGTGCGAGCATTCAGAAATAAAGCCTCTTACTTGCACTCAGTGCTTGGTGAGGGAGTGTAGCCCTTGTAGACGTTGTCCCTGATGGCGATGCACAAAGTGTCGTTGCGGTCTGTCGGCAGCAGAGTCCCGGGCTGAGTCAACAGGCCAAGGTTGTGGTAGAAAGTGTTCCGCTGTTCAATTCCATCCTCAAGGAAAAAACAGTGGCCCAATGTGTCATAACCAACAGTGTTCTTCACCTGGGTAAGAAGATAGAAAAAAATATATATATATAAAGATAGCCTGAAACAACTGCAGATGAGTTCCCAGCAGGAGGAGAGGACAAATAGGGCAAGGTCTTATTAAAACCTTATTTTTTTAATTGTCCTTTCCAAAGAAAATATGGCTTTCATTCAAATATGCAAACCATCTAGGTAAACAAGTCTTGAGGAACATCTGTTCCTTCACTTTAAATACCCCAAAGGGAAAAAGGTACCTTTCCAAGTGCTAAATGTGTTTCTCTACGTATTTTTTTTAACTAAATATTTGAGTACTTCAAGCAATTCAGTCCTGTGCTACACTGCTACACCAATCTTGTGACTTGAAGACGTAATAAATAAGCATCACTCATCTAGAACTTATTTTTCTACACTCTTTCACACAAATGAGTGGATAGCTAGAGGGTTTTCCTTAAACATGCAAACACTTTACTAACCAGCAAGCCATTGGTGGCGTGGACGGTGAGACAGCGAGAGAAGGAGTGATGTATGGAAAGTCCGTCAACATAGGTGGGCTCCCGATAGCCTCCCCTCTGGTCGACATCCCCACACAGGTGAAAGTGGAGTGGGTAGCGCCCTTTTTCTCGCTGCTGACCCATGTTCTTCAACTCCACGTGGGACAGATGCACTGACGAGAAGTTAGCCAAGATCTGAGTTGGCAGAAATGTGAGCACAGACAGGATTTCTAAATGATTTACGCAACACAGTTACAGCACAATAAACCAACTCCAATAGTTACATGATGGGACGAACCCAAATCAGCAGTCAGCTGACAGATACAGATTTATGAAATGGGTTAGAGCTTCAGTATAATTTCACAGGATTTTTCTACAATCCATCTGTAATATGATAGACTGCCACTGTCCACATTAAGCACCAAGTCAAAGTCCTCCAAAAACCACAAGTGGTAATAAAGTGATGTCAGCTGTAGTAGCATAAATCAAAACCCAACACATATATACTGTAGATAAGCCCAACAAACAGTCAAATATGAATGTCTGAAGTCATCCAGTGCAAACACATCATACACAGCTCTGTCGGAGGTCTTCTGTGGGTAGAGCATAATCCACTAGGATCTGGTTTCTGTTAGGGAAGGATTGGCCAATCCTTCCAGCAAACTGAAACTCACCCAAATACACAAAGCTCATAAACATAAAAAATATTTACACCACCACCAGTGCCTGAACGAAGGGTAAAGTCAGACATACATGTGCAATGGTTCAATGAAAACTGCAGACAAACTTAATTCTGTACCTAAATCCTGCAAACTACTTGAGGTGTTAATTGAATAACTCAAGAGAAATCTATTTTTGTTGTTAGGAGACATGTTTTATTTCTACTTAAAGTAAGTGTTAAAGTTAATAAAATAACTCATTAAAGAGGGGGGGAGTGAATATTCTGAAGAATGCTATAACAGTTTCATGAATGGTTTCAATCCTACATTTACTAAATTAGAGCCATGTGGGTCAGGAAGTTACGATTGCATGAGAGCTTTTCCTTGTTCATTCAAATTTATTTAAAGTTTTCTAAAAACTAAGAATGAATACTAAAATTAAAGCTTGGTACTGAGCTGAAAAAAAGAGGAAAAAAAGAAAATAATTTAGAGAATAAGAAGATGAAATAAACATAAATGACTCCTCTAATTAAGTGTGAAGGACGACTAAATGCGTACATTTTAGAATGCACAGTTGAGTTTCTTAGCATGGAAAGTGCTGTGCAAACTGCAGTGGACATTGGGACTTTCCATGATAAATCAAAGTCATAATAAAACAGCTGCTGTTTAACCAAGAAATCCAGTGTAAACAACAAACTGTGCAACAGAAACTACACACACCTTGATGTGGCCTCCAAAGGTGTCGTGGTTAAAGAACTGGCACTTATTGTTTCCATAGCAGGAGTTTTCCATTTCTCCATAGATGAGAATGTTTCTAGAGAGCAGAGCCACTTCAGCACGCATGTCGACTCCATCAATGATTTCACCAACATGGTTATAACGAGGTTTCCCTAAGAAGCACAGAAAGGGCAGATTCTTGGTAAAAAAGCTAAATCAACGTTTTTACTGAAAACGACAAAAAGAAAAAAGAAAGTTTCTAACCATTCTGGTTTGGCCAGATCATATAGAAAATATACATACACGATGGAACAATAGCTTGCAGAAGTGATATTACTTAATACTTGAGCTTCCAAAAAGCAACAAATCGAAGCCAACATGTGCAATGCACAAGTGATGAAAACAGGAAAAATATAATAAGCAGCTCTAACAATTGCAGAAACTGACTGTCTAACGGTGCAGCTGGTGTTGGTCAAACGCACAATTGCTCAGCCTTTCCTCAAGGCAGAAACATAAAACTAAGCACATATAATATGTCCTGCTCTCCAGGAAGGGAGTGGGTGTTTGTTAACCACGAAAAAATGAGATTAGGATGCATGTCTGATAGAAAGAATTGCTGTGAACAACACTGAGGGAGCAGAAGTCCATCAAATTCCTGCAGTTAATATAAAACAAAGTTACTTATGAAACATAAAATTCCTTAAAAACATACATCACCATAACAGCTGAAAAGGAAATGAGGTCCTACGGGATCTGATGCTTATTCTCAAAGCATCTGTTAATCACATTTATTGACCATCATGACGTGTTAAGACTGTATTACGTTCTTTGTCCGCACAAATGTCAATACATCCTCACATCACAGGTTGTTGAGTGTTTTGTAACCATTTTTCCTGTTCCGCTTTTGTTGAAAAAAAAAAAAAAAAAATGGCAGCAGCTCAAGCTAATGAAAGAAGCAGACTCTCAGAGGACAAATGCTAACATACACAAAGTCACATTCAGTTTACTGTTGCAGAAATCCATTGTGCACAGAGCTGCTCTTTGTCGCACCTTGGATCCTGACTTGTCTGCTGGTACAGTCGGGGCAGGGCAGCAGAGTAAACTCTTCAGCCTGGTGCATGGAGTAGTCTGTACTGGCAACTACAATGTTATCGCCTGGTTTCCAGGTCTGCTGCACCTTCTCCTGCAGGTTTAGCACCACCTGGTCTGTAGCATCCACTTGGAAGCCCATAATGGGGTAACCTGTGGGGAATGGTACAATATTCTATTAAAGTTAAGACAGCAAAAATAAAAGTGAGGTTAGTAGTAACTATTTTACACAGGAACAAATGATTGTTTAAATTCATGCTAAGATGCTTTTAGCTTCCAATCAGCAGGTTTTAGCTTCTGTTAAGCCGGCGTTAATTTCTGTTCTGCTGATTTTAGCTTGTTTTGCTCATTTCCATTTTTGTTTTGTTTGCTCTAGCTTCTGTTCAATTCCTTTTAACTTAAACAACTCAGTTTTAGCTTCTTCAACCGATTTTAGCACTCAGCATTCACAAACAAGAGGGCTAACTAGAAAATGTAATTTTTCCTAGTTTCAATTAATGTTTAATTAAAAAAAAGTTTAAATTATTTGTATCTAAAGCAAAAAGAAACTATGGAATTAATAGAGAACAAACTATTTTTGACTAGTTTTTGAAAGTGTATAATTTCACAACATCCAATACATTTTACAGTATCTACACAAAAGAACACTGACAAAGATCATTACTATATTTATGAACCATATGGATATTGTATTGAACTTATTCATCCTCACAAGCTGGTTCTCACCGTTCTTCCACTCGCTGTATGCAGTGACGGAGAAGCCGGCTCCATCTACAGTGGTAAAGTTACACCTCGCTAGAGCTCTTCCTCCTGTGTTGAGGTTTTCATGTTCTCTCACATCCTCAGAGCATGACGTGTTACCACCTCCCACCACAGAGACCAAAGCCCATGCTTGTCTGAAGAAACCAGAGGAATGAAAAAAAAAAAAAACAGAGAAAGTTAGAAGCGTCACACTTTCACATTAAAATAAATACTCAAGCTGTAACCCTCAGCTTGAGGGTTGTTTAAAAAGAAAACAGCATGGATTTAAAGATTTTAATCTATTCTGAGTTTAACGCTGTTTAAATACCAAGACTCGATGTTTTAAACTATAACCTTCAATCCTTTATCAAAATGTTTTGTATGTGCTAAACATAACCAGGCAGTATATGCACAATTTCTCAAAGCAGAACCAGAATAGGTGGGCACATTAAAGTTTAGAAAGATGGCAACAACAAAAAAAGGTATTTATTTATCTTAGTTATAAATTCTGTTTGTTTGATTATGTTTATGTAAAAAGACCAGGATAGAAATGTGTTATTGAAAATTCTTTTGATTGGACTATCAGGGTGAAATTCAAGTAATAATACTGTATAAATAAATCTAAGTAAAAGACTACTGTGTCAGAGAAGTCAGGAAATTAATCAAACAGCAGGAGATTTAAGGGAGGTCTTAGCATATCTCAGAAGAAAAATGTGTTTAAAATAGTGTTGTATATACCATATGCCATACCATACTATTTTATTTAAAGAGCACTTAAAACAGCTACAAGGCCAACCAAAGTGCTGTACAGACAGAACAATGGACAACACACGAAGCAATATACAAAATGAAGTAAATCCAAAAAATATAGAAATAAAAACGATGCAGATAATAAATATGACGATAAACCAGTGTGGAGCGTACAGGTTCAAAACACAGATCCTCTGGTATTGAAAGCTACTGAATAGTAGTGTTTTTAAAGAGGATTTGAAAACCGAGAGGGAGGGGGCCAGTCTGTCAAACAGAGGTAACTCGTTCCAAAGTCTTGGTCCTGCTACAGAGAAGGCCCTGTCACCTCTGCGCTTAAGACGAGTTCCTGGAACTGTGAGGAGCAACTGGTCCGCTGACGTCAGGGAACGTGGTGGGACATACAGTTGTAGCAGATCAGAGAGATTGGGGGGGGGGGGGGGGGGGGGGGGG